CGGCGGTGGCGGAGGAGGAGCGCTGCACTGTGGAACGCCGGGCTGACCTCAGCTACGCCGAGTTCGTTCAGTAGTACGTGCGTCCTCCCGTACCGGCTACATTCCCCACGCCCGAAAACCTGTGCAGGAGCTTCGTCACCCTGGATCGATGGTGTCGCGCCCGTGTTTGACGGCGGTGTGCCCAGACTCCCAAGGCCGCCTCCCCCAAAACTCAAGCGAACTCGTGTGGGCGGGGTCGGAGGGGGGCACGAGTCAGACTCGACTGTGGCTCTGCCTTTCCTTCCAGCTATGCCTTCTCCAGACCCGTCATCCTGCAGGGGCTCACAGACAACTCAGTGAGTGCTTGTGCTCCTCCTGTCAATCTCTTGCCTGTGATAGGCTGGGCCCTTAAGTCCTTTCCCCACCCCCGCAGAGATTCCGAGCACTCTGCTCCCGCGAAAGGTTGCTGGCCTCATTTGGGAACAACGTGGTGCGGCTGAGTACTGCCAACACCTACTCCTACCAGAAAGGTGAGCTGCCCCTCCTTGTAGCCCAGCCTGCTTGCTGGCATCCTGAGCAGCACCAGCCAGTCCTGACCGGTCCTTTTCCTGCAGTGGATCTACCCTTCCAGGAGTATGTGGAACAGCTGCTGCACCCCCAGGATCCCACCTCCCTGGGTAACGGTGAGCCAGACTTGGGCAGCAGTAGGGTGGGGAGGAGGCACTCGGCACTGCCCAGGTGCCAGGATCCCTGTACCCTCCTGTGTTCTCTGCTGGCAGACACCCTGTACTTCTTTGGGGACAACAACTTCACTGAATGGGCATCACTTTTTCAGCACTACTCCCCACCCACATTCAGTCTGCTGGGTACCACTCCTGCTTACAGCTTTGGAATTGCAGGTGGGTGCCCTGCAAAATCAGACTGGGGGGTGGGGGTAGTGCAGATTGAGTTTGATCACCAGCTACTTGTTACTGACTCCACAGGAGCTGGCTCTGGTGTACCCTTCCACTGGCACGGGCCTGGGTTCTCAGAAGTGATCTATGGCCGCAAGGTCAGCACAGGGTAGTGGCTGCAACTTGGGGTTCATTGACCATAACACAGATTGACCTTGCTGCTCCTGCTCCCAGCGCTGGTTCCTGTACCCCCATGAGAAGACACCCGAGTTTCACCCCAACGAGACCACACTGTCCTGGCTCCAGAACATATACCCAGCCCTGACACCATCTGCACGACCCCTTGAGTGTACCATCCACGCTGGTGAGGTCAGTAGTTGGTAAGAGGGGGTGGGGCTGGGCTGAGGGCCCCAACTAAACCCTGTGCCCTACCCCATCCAGGTGCTGTATTTTCCTGACCGATGGTGGCATGCCACACTCAACCTTGACACCAGTGTTTTCATCTCTACCTTCCTTAGCTAGCCAGAGCAGGCAGCTGGCGAGCCCCGTCGCACACCAGCACACACCCCTACAACTGCTCACAGGTTTTATTACAGGGACAATGGTGGCAGAAGCGGCCTCAGCCCAACCCACCCTAGCCTGCTGTTTCTGGCTCAGAAGAGGGACAGGGGAAGCTCATGGCCTAACAGCAGAACTGATGGAGAGGATGGGGTAGGGACACCAGAGCAGGGATCCAGGGACACAAACTATGTACAGGGACTGGGGGAAAAAGCCCCAAGACCCAGGACCTCCTGGGCCAGGGTTCCAGGCTAGGTGGGGCAAGTAGCCCTCCCACTCTCCCTGCCTCAGTAGTCCTCCACCCAGCCGTTCTCAGAGATGAACGCATCGATGACCTCTTTCATGGCCAGGTTGGGAATGAGCTGTTCCTGGGTCAGGGGACTCCGGGTCACAGGATCAAAATGGCCCACGCGCTGCAGTGACAACAGGGTCAGAAGGTACTTAGTGGGCCTAAGCCCTGCCCCCAGCACCTGTGGGCCCTCACCTGCAGGTGCTCCTCGATGTCCTTTCGGTCATAGGTGATGCCACTAGGTGTGATGCATGGCTCCCGCATTAGCTCGAAGCTGATCTTACCACACAAATAGTCGGGGATGTCTCGCTTCTGCATCATACCAGGTCAAGTCAGGAACCAGAAAGGGGACACTGCTCCAATTCCTGCTACCCACAGGCCCCAGAGAACAGGACAACTCACCTTTCTCTTCTCATCCACTTGGGAAAAGAGCTCATCCATATCTGCTAAGTATTTGTCCTGCAAAAAACCGAGCATCCACACATGGGCCACATACTCCCTCTCCCTTCCCCAGACACGCACACAGACCCACTAGCCAGGGGCACCCTCAAGTCACATGCACACAAACACACACAGACCCACATGTGGGCCAGGGCACCCTCACGTGCTTGGCCTCGATGCAGGCCTGCTGGGCCCGGATGTGGCCATCGTCCTCATCACCCTCATGGTTCCGCTGACACTCTTCCAGCTCCCTGGGGTTTGACCAAGGAGCTGGTCAGAGACAGGTTGGCCAGGAAAGGTCAGATTCCACCCCACCCTCACGCTTGTTCAGGCCTTGTCCCCTTCTTTCTGTTCACCAGTGTTGGCTTTCATTAAATATTTGTGTTTCTGACTCAAAGTGCTGACTTGGGGGGCAGGGGTCTTGGGGCCTGCCACCACAGCCCACCTCTCACGCTCTGCCACAATGAGTCGTGTGAGGTAGGAGTGCAGCTCATTCTCTTGGTGGATGCGCCGCTCCTCGATGCTATTCCAGCGCTTCTTCTTGGCGATGCGCAGAGCGCTGGGGATGTCGTCCCCAAAGTTGAGCCGCTGCTCCTTAGCCAGATTGTAGGCTGAGGAAACAGGCTTCAGGTCCTCCTCTGGTCAGTCCACCCGCCCAGCCCCAGGCACCCTCATAACCAGCCAGCCTGTAAGCCTACCTCGCTGCAGGTTGGCGATGGCCTCATCATAGCTCTCCATCTCCAGCTGGCATTGCCCCAGGAAGAAGTGTGCCTTCACAGACTGCCCATCCAGCTCCAGGGCACGCCGGCAATCAGCCAGGGCCTGTTCATGCTGCTGCATCTTCAGGTAGCACAGTGCCCGGTTGGTGTAATACACCGCCACCAGGGGATTCCGGGTCTGGAGACCAGGGCCCGCCAGTCAGCAGAAGGGAGCGAGCTCAGCCTGTCCCTGTCCCAAGCCCTGTCCTGGCTTAAGGCCCATGGTTGGAATCAAGACACTAGGTTTCTTAGCTTCAAAGCTCCTAGGCCCTGAGGATGGGTGGAGGATGTGTCCTGGCCCTGAAGTCTGTCTGAACCCACCCTCCTGACTCGAGTACATTTTGTAAAGGTAAGTTTCCCAGACCTGTGGAGATCCCTGGCCCCAGGCCCTGCCGGCCTCAAGCGCCCTGAAGCTCCCACCCACCACAGTTCTCTGGCGAAGGGCTCGAGAGCTGGGGCCTCGGCCCTTTTGGAACGAGATCATCGTTGAGTTCTCAGAGCCCAAACGCCCCTCCCCCGAAAGACCAAGACCCTCCGAAGGTCCAGCGGGGAGAACCGGGCAGGCCCCGCCCCCTCGCTGGCCCGGACGCTGGTCCCCTCCCTCGGCTTGGGCGTACTCACGATGGCGCGGCCGTAGCAGGCCGCTGCCTCCGGGTACTTGCGGCCCACGAAGAGCCGGTTGCCCTGTTCCTTCAGCTCCTGCGCGCTCGGGCTCTTCTCGGGGCTTCCGCCGGCGGCGCCCAGCCGCGCGCTGCTCTCTTTCTCCTCCTTGCCTTTCATGGCGCCGCGCGGCACGGCCTGGGCTCCGTTCCCAGGCTCCGCGCCCGGCCCACCCTGTGCCCGCAGCCCGAGCCCGCAGCCCGAGCCCGCGATCCGCTCGGGCCCGGTCCAGCGATCCGCCACCGGAACTTCCGGCCCCGCGGGGAGGGGCTAGTGGGGCGAACGGACCCGCGCGGGTGGGCGGGGCCGCGCGTGCGCCTGACGCTCTGTGGGGGGGAGTGGGGCGGGAGGGAGTGTCTGCTCCGCGACGCGACCGCAGTCAGAAGAAGAGCCGAGGGCTGCTCCAGGTGGCTCCGCCCCTCGCATTCGCGGGTCTTCCTCCCAGAAGTTGGCCAAGCTCACGCCCCGCATCCTGTTTCGCCTCTTCCGAGGCCCAGCCCGTGAACATGGCGTCCGCCCGCGGGTTGTGGGGCTGTGAGGACCCGAGCCGCTGGGCCGCCATCCTGGCGCGCCACGAGGAGGTGGTGCGAACGCGCGCGGGCTCCCAGCGGCAACTAGAAGCCCTGGACCGATGGTAGGGCGGTGGAGGCATCGGTAGGGCGGGCTCCCCGTTGTCCGGACTCCCCGTCACCGCCCTTCCCCAGGTATCGAGAGGATTTGCCCGCAGCCATCGAGGGCCGAGCGGAGAAGCACGTGACACGAGACGAGCTGGAGCGGCTGCTGGCCTGGAAGCTGGCGGTGAGGGGCTTCCACGTGGGGGGCGGACCGTCGGCCGGCGGGCCCGCCCTCTGAGGTCGGGGCTTCCATTTGTGGGCGGCTCCTTGTGGCGTGGGGTGGAGCTCCCTCCTAGAGGCGGGCCCTCCTGTCCAGGTCCACCACCAGTGACCACCCCATCCGATTCGACTTGGCGGCAGAGGGGCCGTTTCCGGCCGCGCCTGCAACAGCTGGTGGCCACCAACCCCCCGGAGCTGGTGGTGAAGCGCTCCGCCGCTGCCTTCAACCTCCTGCCAGACATGCAGGCAGCGGTCACAGAATTGTGCGCCCTCAGGGATGTGGGCCCCGCCACTGCCTCGGGTTAGTTGGGAGAGCTATCACACCGGCGGGGTCGTGGGCGGAACCTGGCCTGTTAGTGTTTTTGTCTGTGATGTGGGCCAATAGCCACGTCCATGACACGGAGGGTCACTGAGAAATGGCATTTCACACTGAGGTTGTTCTGAGACTGGTGGTGTCTGAGTGCTGGCCCTTCACTACCCCCAGCGGTCCTGGCTGCTGGAGCTCCTGAGGTGGCAGCCTTCATGTCTGATGAGGCCGTGTCCTCAGTTCCTGGCCTGCCAGCCCTGCAGTACACTCTCAAACACTACTTGCTGTACCTGCGCCAGGTGCAGGAGCGTGCCACAGCCCTAAATGGAGGTGAGGGGACTGTTGGTGGGCTAGGAGGGTATCCAGAACTTCCATCAGGGTGGAATGTGCAGAGCTGTCCTGCAGGGCAGGGTGGTCAGTGCCCTGGGCCCCAGACTCCCTCTGTGCCTCCCCAGGTAGTACCTCAGGGTTGTGGACCGCTCATCGTGTGGAGACAGCATTGTGGACCTGGGCTGTGGGGCAGAAGCTGTGCCCCCATCTGCTGCCCAACCTCAGCCCCAGCTCGGCCACCCCTGAGGATACCAGGCCATCCAAGAAACACAGGACCCAGGCCAACTGAACTTGGCTGTGGCTCAGGACCTGCTCACCTGCTGTGTGACTGCAGAAGCTCAATAAATGCCTGCTAAACTCACTTCTGACCATGAGGCTTACAGTTTCTCCCCAAGGGATCCCACCTCCGATATAGACACACCTCATACCAAGTACAGAGGAGCAAAGGAGAATCCAGGTTGCCTGTACAGAGGAAAGAGCCCTCACAGGCCACTCAGCGAGTGAGGGGGAGGCCAGACTAGCCCCCAGAGCCCTCGTACAGCCACCTGGTGCTGTGTAAAATATTTATTCATTCTCCAAAAAGGCTCAGACTGTTAGTCCTGGGGGGAAGGCTGGGACAGGGTCTCCTCTGGGGTCACCCTGGGAACCTCCACCACCCGGCTTGGCCCAGCTGTCCTAACCCCACTTCCCCAAGGCCTAGGATGGGGCCAGGGCTGGTATAAGGCTTAGCCTGAATTCAGTGGGCCACAGGGGCCACCTGCCCTCATGGGACAGGCAGCCTCTAGAGATACATTCACAGAGGGCAGACATGCAGGCCACCCCCTGGCCCATGCGTCCCCCGGGAGTCCATCAGGGTGGCGGGGGGATGTGGGCACCCAGCAAGTCATAGGCGAAGACATTCCAGAAGATGGCGAAGAGCAAGAAGGTGCCATAGGCAAGCAGCACCACCCACCAGCCGCACTGGTCCCGCAGGCGCTCCTCGTAGCTGCGCAGGATGGTCAGGCCCATGCTGACCCCCACCACGGCACCAGCCAGATGTGCCATGAAGCTGGGCTGTGGGCCCGAGGCAGGCAGTGGTGGGGAGAAGCGCAGCCACACAGCCCGGCCCACCTCGGAGCTCACTGCAGAGGGAGGTGGCAGGTGGAAGGCACCTGGGCCATGGGCTGAGCCTCCCCACCCAGCCCCCCAGTCCCCTACTTACTGCACACTAGGGCCAGCACCATCCTCAGCAGCTTGTAGGGACACCTCATCCCAGCCCAGTTCTGATGGGGTGTGAGAGAGGCTGTGAGACAAGCCTTGTGGGCCCCTCCCCACACCCCACCTCGGCCGTCCTATTACCATGACGACGTTAGCCAGGTGTGCAGAGCACAGAGCGTAGACCCCGCCGGAGCCCCCCACCACAGGAGCCCGCATGTCAGTAATAGAGACAGTCAGGGAGCCTGTATAAAGCAAATGGAAAGCTGTGAGAGTGAGACCCACAAGTGAGGTGGCCAGGGGGTACACGCCTGCCTCACCTGCCAGCACACCAGCCAAGTAGAGCAGGCTGATGCGGAGCAGGCCATGCACCATCTCCAGGGGCACCCCGATCATCAGCTGCAGAAGAGCGTTGAACCCTAGCTGTTCCAGCCTGGCCATGTGGGGGCAAGCAGGTATGAGGGTTGAGATCAGCCATCAGGCCCCCAGCCCTAGCCTCAAAGTGCTAAAATCTGATTCAATCCGGGGTACTGGAAGTGGGCCCCCACTCACCCGACGTGCATGAACATGTAGGTAAGAAAGCGCCAGGCCCGAGCTCGGTGGCCAGGGTGGTACACAAGGGGGCTCTTCATGTACTCGGGGTGGTAGGTCTGCAGCACCCACTTGTTGAGGCGGGCCCCATAGCACAGGAACACAATGATCTGGGAGAAATGAGCATTAGAGCCAAGCTAGGCCAGGCCAGGGATGCAGGAGGTGAATAGGTAGGCTCACCTGGGCAAGGGTGACTGAGGCCATAAACACAGGAGGTGGGCAGCTGCGATGCCGGTAGAAGTACCAGTGGCGGTCTACCTCTCGGGGCAAGATCTCGTAGGCCACATAGCGCACGAACCGTTTGTAGACACCTAGGCCCGGTTCATCCAGCAGCCCATCCTGGGGCAGCGCCCGCTGTCCATTGGCGATGGCTCGCTTGAAGCTGCTTGAACGCTTGCTACTGATCTGGCGGGGGGGTAGGGGTGAACGAGAAGGGGGGGGCTAAGCATGGGACCTTGTATTCCCTCCGCTACCTACATGCCCCACCTGGTCCACCCAGCTCCTCACAGGATCTGAGGCCCTCCCCGCTGCAAAGGGAAAGGCAGGGAAGAGGGGCTGCCTGCCCACCCAAGTCTAGCCAGGGCACTGTACTGGCCAAGGCCTGGAACCCCGCCCCGGCTGCCCACCCACTGTGGCACTGACCAGGTCCACCAGCTCCTGGTAGCAGACCTGGCCCCGATCGTTGCTCTGGGCCAGGGCCACCAGCATGTCCAGCTTGGCTGGGTCCAGGGGCAGCTCATGGCTGTGCACCAGGCCAGTGAAGGTGTCCGCACCGATGAAGCCGGTGTTCTCAGGGTCCAGCTGCTGGAGTGGGGTGGAACCACCCGCCAAGGCCTGAGGGTGGGCCCGGCCCACAGACCAAAGGGCTGGGCCAAGCCAGCTGGGAGATGCAGTCTCCCAATACCCTCGGGTCAGGCTTCTGTGCCCTGACATGGTCCCAGAAGCTATCAGGGCACTGGTGCTTGGGTTCCAGGACGCCAGGGATCTCCCCACCGCATTTTCACCCTGCCCATCCTAGAAGGGTAGGGCCAAGGTCTGAGGACTATCGCCCTCACCTCCCGCCCCTCGCTAGGCGTCTTGGTCTGGCTCACCCTCTCCTGGGGTTTCAGGCAGCGGGACCAAGGTCCTGCAGGAGGGGCCTTGGGGGAGCAGGAGAGAGCAGGGGCGGGACTGGGGCTCTATGAGCTCGGTTCCCCGAGCGCAGCCCAACAGCGAAGGGCCGCGGCGGGGGCGGTGCCGGCATCCCTCCTCCCCACGCACCTGCTCCTGGATAAGCTGCAGCAGTGAGCTTCTGTCCATAGAGCCAGGCCGGGCTCAGGGCCGGGGTCGGCGGCCGTGGCCGGGAGGGGCTGCTCTGCGGACAACTCCGCTCCGCCCCAGCCCGTGTGCTCCGCCCGCCCGCTCCGCTCCGCAC